GGGGGCTGCCCCTCGGCTACTTACCTGGGGGGAAGACAGCCGAGATCCCGGGGGCCCGGGCCGGACCGCGGAGATGCCCCAAACTGACACGGCCGCCATCTTGGAGACAGTGAGCTCCGACTGGGGGGAGGGGAGGCCAGGCGGCGGAACAGCCGCGGGGGGAGGGGAGCGTCGCGAGGGAACGGCTGCCTGGGGAGGGAGCGGGAACAGCCTGCGCGGGCGGGAGGGAGGGAGGGGAGGAGCAGAGGAGCGCGGAAGGAGGGCAGCCGGTAGCTGGAAGAGCAGGCTCGTCGCCGGGAAGGGCCGGAGGGCGGGGCGACGGGGGCTTTGGGGGGGGGGAGCCGCTGGGCGGGTCACGGGGGGCGGGTACAAAAGGCCGAAGCCCGGGTGGAAGCGGGAGTTGGCCGGGCTGGAGGCCAACAGCTGGGGGCGTCCCTCCTCCTTTCTCACGCGCTCGCTGAGATCGGGCGGATGGCGGGGCCACGATCGGAAGGTGCACCCGGATTACCCAGCCCGGGAAATTTGGGGCGGGCGCTTGGGTGGGGCGGCTTAGGCGCGACGCCGATACCCGTAGCTTGTAAGCTCGGAGCGCCCCGCGCGCAGCGTCCGTCCGGTTCCCAGGCGCTGCTTTGCGCCCGGGCGTGCACGCCCCGCGTCTGTCTCCGTGCTGCGGGGCTCCCCCCCTCCTCCCCAAGGCGGCTCCGGGAGCTCCGTGGCTGGGCGGGGGAACGCGGGTGGTAGGAGTTCCTTCTTCTTGCCTTCGCCTTTCTGCTCACTCTGCACTCAAACCGCTCATCCCCGTGGTTCAAAGAATAGAGTCTGGCTAGAAAGGGGAGAGGGCACAAAGTTGGACACCCTGTCAGCTAGCAGGATGCCCATCCAGGCACACACTCTCTGATCCCCCTGTCCTCAAGTTGCTAAACCTTGGAAACGTGTTTATACGAAACAGCACCCCCCCCCAGCTCGGTGTCTTAAGACTTGGACAAGGTCACATAGCTATTATGACACGGTTGTTTGTGGAACCTGGGTCTTTTTCTTTCCTGCCCTGTTGCAGATTGATGGCTGAACGGCAGAGACACTTGACTGGGGCAAGTCTCTCTGCTACTGGCTATCTGTTTCTTTGTCTTTGATCCACTAGAAACTCTTGAGATTGAGTCACACTCTCACACACTCCTTCACTGGAAAGCCACGTTAATGCTCAACAGTTTGAGACTTGTATTGCTGCTACCCTTGTATTTGCTTTGGGTGCCCTTCCTAGACTGTTACCCTGAGACCTCATTTTATCACAGCTTTGCCCCCCCCCCCAAAAAAAAGACCACCTGCTAGTCGCTGCCGTAACTTTGATATTACTTTCTTTTCTGAACTCTGCTGTGTTTTGGGGTTTTTTTTCTTTATTCATTTTGCAGTTAAGGTGTAGTCCTAATGCTTTTAATATATTCCCAGGTAAATGTTCTTCCACAGTGTCATTTGGCATCCCAGAGTCTAACCAACATGATGTCAAGGGCAAAGCTCAAAACAGCGCTTATAGTGAGTAAGCGTTTATAAGCTGCTGAGAAATAAGTTTACACCTCACCCCTTGTCCCGTCTCAAAACCTCATTCTCTGCTTTCAGATCTGTGTATGCACAATAGACTGTTGAAACTATTAGTAATTAAACAAACGTGAAGGGGCTGCCGTGCCCTATTCTGACATCGATGACAAGCAGGTGGGGAAAGGTTTATTGGATCACCGGAAACCACTTCTTTACAAACCCCAGGTTTACGTTCCATTACTATTAGAAGGAAAATTTGAAGACAGAAGGATCACCAAGATCAAGATTCAGTGGGCACACCATCTCAAGGGAATATGGTAGAAAATGATAGAGCAAGACACCGGTTATCATCCTCTGGGCTCCAAGAATGGACACACGCACACGCACACACACTCGCGTGTACCCGTTGGTCTGTTTGTTTTAGATATATGTTACTGAAAGGCATACTCAGAGTTCTTTATAAGTTTTGGAAGGTACACCTACAGTCCAAGAGGACAGAGTTAGCATAACTCTTGGATTCTGCTGGGGTTTTTTGTTTTATTTGTTGATCTTTGAGACAATTCGGACAGCTGAAGATTATTTCCTCTGTCAATCAAAAAAAAACCACAGCCCTCATCTTAAAGGGAATCGGAGAGTTTATTCTGGGTCCATTCGGAGTGACTATGGCCTGGGACATAATTTCTTCATTTGTAACTTCATTGAGAGTAACATTAGTAGTATTTTATCACCTAGAAATTCACCAGGTGGAATGTTAAATATCATGGACAATTTTAAAAATCTAATTACAGAGTATTTAAGAAACAAAAAGTGAGAGAGATGTTGAGTTACTGGGGGTACTCAATTGTCAGTGGTGTTAAACAAACATCATCCAACATTTTTGAGTCCCTCGTGAGTGTGCTCCCAGACGGTGAGAAAGTTGACAGCCTTGGGTTTCCTATCCTAAGAACGAGTTAGGAATACATGGCCACAGTCCTGATCTTTCAGTCAGAATGGAGTTTTTGATGTGATAGCCCTTTTCCCCTTTTAGTTGATGCAAGCATCTGGTTTTCTTTATCCTTAGATGAAGACTCTGTGATTCTAATCTTAGTACCATAGTTAAAAGTTCTTTACAAGATACGCTACTTGTTTACCTAGTAGACCAAATTGGATGAACAGACTTAAAGATTTGTCCATTAAAGCAACTTTCACAATCACTATTTAATTTAGTAGGAATATTCTAAATAGGTATAACTCTCCAAAAATAATTGTTTCGCATAGTTAATATAATGGCTGACTATCTATAAAGGCAAGGTTTGTAATTAGATCTTAAAATTGTGATATTTAATATCTCTACTTTGTATCTATATATGTGTTGTATACATATATGTGTGTGTATTAAAAAAAAAACTCTAGTATTTTTCAATTAAATTTGAACTCCACTTACTCTAGCTAGAGATATCCAAAGATTTGTGTCAACCCTTTCTGTCCAAATTATGCAAAAACCATCAATCTCTAATTACGTTATTGATGTTTTATACCTTAAGTGCTGATGTTTCTTGTATTTAAAATGTCCTACAAAACAATTAGCCAGGATTTAAAAATTAATTGAACAGCATTTGTAGCTTATTAGTTAAAAAGGAGAACAATACTACAGTGACTCCTTCCAAAGTTCAAGTATTTAAACACAAATGAGCTAGCACATAGAGTACAAATAACCATAAAAAGAGGGAAAGACACAGTCAACCTAATTTTAAATTCTGCAGATGTTTGGTATTTCAGGTACATGTGTCTGTGTCTGTCATCTGCTGCCTTCACTCCACTAGACCACACTGTGTTCTTGATGACTTAAGCTGAGATCTAGTAGCCCTGCCACCTGTCATATGTAAATGCCATGTCAGATAAAGAGGGTACAAGAAACATAATTCGTATCTGGATCGTGATGGCTAATAGTCTTGATACGGTCTGGAGTTCCTCAACGGCTTTACCAGCTAGTCATCTATCCTGAAGACTGCAGCCCTGCCCGCTAAGCCTCGTCTACATCAGATCCTATGAATGAGCCTTCCTAGCTAGGAGAGACCTTAGAATATTTAATAAACAACTTGCAATCCACACACGCACAAAATGTGATCCTGGGTGAACAGAAAATTGTGTTACAGGAAAGAGACCAACTACCTAAACCAGAGCTGCTGGAGCCCTGGGACAGCCATTCCTTGCCTACCTCTGTGTCAGCACTAATATCCTGTTAATAATAGGTTAAAAAAAACTTATTTAATAACAGAGCTACTAGCTGCCATCAGCCCAAAAGCTGAGAGTGTCACCAGAGAGCATCTCAGACCTATGGAAAGCTTCTCCCCATCTTGCTGTAACTGTCTCTGTGATAGACCCATCAGTGTATTTTAAGACTTGTCTTGATTTTATGACTTTCTTTGTTCTGTAAAACTATAAAACTCCGCCAAACTGTTTCCACGTTGGAATGAGAAATTTGGGTTCATGTAAATCTGTATTTCTAGACCATAGCCACTCAGAATGGCTCCAGAATTAACTCTTACTCCCTTTAAGTTGAAACCTGTGGTCTTGAATCGGCGGCAGTGTAACTCTGAACATTCCCTCCTTTTTAGAAATCTGTCTCTCTCTCTCTCTCTCTCTCTCTCTCTCTCTCTCTCTCTCTCTCTCTCTCTCTGTGTGTGTGTGTATGTATGTATGTAATATATGTATTCCTGAAATATTGCTTGTCTGTGCTAGCTAGGGGTAAAATCTGTTTTGGGTTGTTCTGGGTGATACTTTAGGGATTGGCTTTCTCAGCTCTGAGCCTAAAATCACCATCTTTCTTCTCCCATCTGGTCCTTGGGGTTATCTTGTTTACATGAATGTAAGTGGGTTCGAGACACCAGATGACCAGTCAGTCCCTTACCTGTCTCCCCAGGAGAGCCAAAAAAGTTTCTTCTGACCCAGGAGTGAGGTGTGTTTGGGTTCTCTATTAGGCCCAAGGCCAGTGCACTGTGGGGTGTTTTCCCTGACACTTTTTGGGTGAGAGAGAATAAGTGACTCTGGTGTCTTTAGGAACAAGCACTCAAAATTCCTGAGCTACAGGTGTGGCAGTGTCACCGGAGAAGCATCAGGGAAAAGGAGAATTAGGCATTTGAAGAGGGGTGTCAGGAGACAAAGGCCAAATGCTAGGTCAAAATATTTCAAAGACAAACAGAAACCAAAATGCCTTCAAAGTTTCAAAAAGCAAAAATCAAATTGCCTTTAGAGATCCAAAATCAAACAAACAAAACCGAACTAAATGTCTAGACCTTGAAATTCTTTCAAAGCAAACAAAACAGATGCCTTCAATGAAATACTTGAAAACAGACCAAATAGGTAGCTATCAAGTTAGGATCCTTAATTAGGCAGCTCAGAATAAACAAATGAACCAGCTACCAAGCCGTGGGAGGTCCAGAGCCCAGGAAAGGACTCCCCTACAATCCACCTCAGGAAGTAACAGGTGGCCTGGCCTGGACTCCATCAGTCCATGCAGGTACCTGGCTGCCACCCAGATGACTCATGCAAGAGAACGCTGGATGGATCTCTAAGGCCCATTTGGTGGCTCCACAATTGTCAATAAAAAGAGCACAGCTCTCATCTTAAAAGGAATAAAA